ACACGAGATCACATAGTGCATGATTCTGTTTACACAAAACGTCCAGAATAAGCAAATCCATAGAGACAGCAAGCAGACAGGGGGTTGCCTAGGGCTCGGGGAGGGGGTGGGGGGAGAACTGGGAATGGCTCCTAATTGGTGGGGTACAGGGTTTTGGGGGGTTGATGAGAAAGTTCTAAATTTAGGTTATGGTGATGGTTGCATGACTCTAAAATATTAAACACTGTTAAACACTACTGAATCAGGCTCTTTAAGAGGGCAACTTATGGAATATAATTATAAGATGGTATTTAATATACCATATATAATATCTCAATAGTTCAGTGTGCTGAGTGCCCAGTTGCTCAATCATGTACAACTCTTTGTGACCCTGTGAACTATAGCCCACCAGGCTCCTCTGTCTATGGAATTTTCCAGGCAAGAATACTGGAGTAAGTTGCCATTTCCTCCTCCAGGGCATCTCCCTGACCCAGGGATAGAATTTTAGTCTCTCGTGTCTTCTGCATTGGCAGGAGGGTTCTTTACCACTGCGCCAAAATAGAGCAGTTTGAAAAATGAAGACTAGAACTCTGGGAAGGCAGCTACCTAGAACAGCACATTTCCCCTAACAGTTCCCTTTGTGGTTAACCACATCTTATCATTTTGTTCCAGTCTGAAAGCACAAGGTCCTTTCTTCCTTTTTCATCTCCTAGGCATTTTTTTAAAAATTGATTTCTCTAAGTTTACTTACTTTTAATAGACATATAACACTGTATTAGTTCAGTGTGTACAAGGGGGGCTCCCCTAGTGGCTCAGATGGTAAAGAAACTGCCTACAATGCAGGAGACCTGGGTTTGATCCCTGAGTCAGGAAGACCCCCTGGAGAAGGAAATGGCAACCCACTCTAGTATTCTTGCCTGGAGAATCCCATGGACAGAGGAGTCTGATGGACTATAGACCACATAGAGTCAGACACGTCTAAGCGACTAAACAGCAGTAGAACATCAGTACAAAGTAATGATTCAATACTTGAATATATTGCAAAATGATCACCACATCTCTAGTTACCATCCACCACCTCACATAGTTACAATAGTTTACCCTGGGGTTTCCCTGGTGGTCCAGTGGTTAAGAATCTGCCTTGCAATTCAGGGGACACGGGTTCAGTCCCTGGTCCAGGAAGATCCCACATGCCCCAGAGCAACTAAGCTGGTGAGCTGCAACTACTGAAGCCTGCAAGCCTAGAGCCTGTGTTCAGCAACAAGAGAAGCCACCACAAGGAGAAGCCCCCACACGATGACAAAGAGTAGCCATGCTCTCTGCAGCTAGAGAAAGCCCTCCACAAAGACAAAGACCCACCAGTCAAAAGATAAATAAATCTTTTTAAAAATTTATTCTTTTGTTTTCCTTTTGATGACAACTTTAAGATCTACTCTCTTGCGCGGGTGCACGCTCAGTTACTCAGTCGTGTCCAACTCTTTGTAACCCTATGGACGGTAGCCCACCAGGCTCCTCTGTCCATGGGATTCTCCAGGCAAGAATACTGGAGTGGGTTGCCATGCCCACCTCCAGGGGATCTTTCTGATAAGGATGGAACCTGAATCTCTGTGTCTCCTGTACTGGCAAGTGGATTCTTTACCACTGAGCTACTTGGGGGAGAAGGGAATGGCAACCCACTCCCGTATTCTTGACTGGAGACTCCTAAGGACAGAGGAAACTGGCGGGCCACAGTCCATGGGGTCACAGAGAGTCGGACAAAACTATAGTGACTTTGCACATGCATGCACCTGGGAAGAGCCAAGATCTACTCTCTCAGCCACTTTCAAATATGCAATGCAACATTAGTTGCTACAGTCCTACTGTATGTTACATTCTCAGGACTGTTTTTTTTTTTAATTTCTTTCTTTATGGCTGTATCGGGTCTTCATTGCAGCCTGCAGTCTTCTCTCTGGTTGAGACTCATGAGTTTGGTTGCCTTGCAGCATGTGGGAGCTTGTGCAGCCCCGCAGCATGGAAGGTGGGCTCTTAACCACTGGGTAAGTCCAGAAGTTTGCACCTCTTCACCCATCTCACCCACCCTCAATCCCCTACCTCTGGTAGCCACCAAATCTGTATCTTTGAGATTGGTTTTTTTTTTGTTAGTTTGCTTTGTTGTTTAGATTTCACATAGTGAATTCGTGCAGTACTTATCATTCTCTGTCTGAGTTATTTCACTTAGCATAACATCTTCCAGGTCCATCCGCGTGGTCACAAGTGGCAAGAAGATACCTTCTTTTTTCTGACTGAGTAGTATTCCGTTGTATACATATACCACATCTTTATTCATTCATCCATCAGTGGATACTTAAGCTGTTTCCATATCTTGGCTATTGTGAATAATGCTGCAATAAACATAGAGATGCATATGTCTTTGAATTAGTGTTTTTGTTTTTCTGGATAAATACTCAGGAGTGGAATTGCTGGCTCAAACAGTAGTTCTATTTTTATTTTTTAAGGCACCTCTATACTGTTTCCCATAGTGGCTGCACATTCCCAGCAACAGTACTCAGGTTCTTCTCTTTTCCATATCCTCACCAACACTTCTTTTCATGCACTTGGCCATCTGCATGTCTTCCTTGGGAATCATCTGTTCAGATTCTTTGCCCATTTTTTTTTCTTTGCCCATTTTTTAATCAAGTTGTTTGCTTCATTTTTGTTTCTGTTTTTGCTTTGCTATTGAGTTGTAGGAGTTCTTTATATATTTTTAATATTATCAGATATGTGATTTGCAGGTGTCTTCTTCCATTCAATAGGTTGCATTTTGTTGTTGATGGTTTCCTTTGTTGTGCGGAAGCTTTTCAAAATCTTGTACACTGGAAATTGTAAGACATTGATGAAAGAAATTGAAGAAGACACAAGTAAATGGAAAGGTATTTCACGTTTATGGATTGGAAGAATTAATATTGCTAAAATGTTCATACTATCCAAAGCAATCTAAAGATTCACTGCAATCCCTATCAAAATTCCAATGGTATTTTTCACAGAAATAGAAGAGTCCTAAACTCTGAATGGAGACACAAAAGACTCTGAATAGCCAAAGCAATCTTGAGAAAAGACAAAGCCGGAGGTATCGTGAACTATAATAACAATATTATAATGATCAAAATGTTGTGGGATGGGCATAAAAACAGATACATAGATCAATGGACCAGAATAACAAGTCCAAAAATAAATACATGCAATGTGGCCAGTTAATTTACAGCTAAGGAGTCAAGAATATACAATGGAAAATGGACAGTCATTTCAATAAATGGTGCTGGAAAAACTGGAGAGCCAAAAAAAAAAAAAAAGAATGAAACTGAACCACAATCTTACACTACACACAAAAATTAACAAAAACTGGATTAAAGACTTGAACTTGAGACCTAGAAGAAAACTCCTAGAAGAAAACATAGGTAGAAACTCACTGACGTCAGTCTTGGCAATTATTTTTTTTTTATCTGACTCCAAAAGCAAAGGTCATGAAAGCAAAAATAAACACTAAACAGGAAAAAGCTTCTGCACAGCAAACAGAACTAGCAATTATCTGAAAAGGCGACCCCTAGACTTTTTTCAGTCTCCTTGTGGTCTCCCCTCAGGCCTGGGGGCTGAGAAGATCCTCTCACAGTTGGAGTGAGAGGTCAGGTCAGCTCTTTCCTGGTGAAGCCCTGGATCCTGCAGGGGTTGGACTCATGGGGAGGGGCCCTCAGCTGCCCTCCTGAGTCATAAAAGATTGCCTAAAAGAAAGCAGGAGATTTGAAAATCCAGAGAAGAGGGATACTGACCTTACCTCCCCGCCCCCCAAATTTCCTTGTGGAACCAAGGATTCTCTTGTTTTCCCAGTGAGAGTGCCTGGTAGGACTCCACCCAAAGCAAACAGCAGGGCTAAAGGGTTAGCAAAGCAAATAAGGTTTCAGCAAGAAACCTTCCTTCACTTCCCTGTTGGGTGAACTCTTCTCACTCAGAACCTAGGCTGGAATTTCTCTGCACTGAATGAATCTCAGAAGAAACTCAGTGTCGCTTCCCAGAGGCCTGGATTTTCAAAAGCTGCCTGTTTGACGGAGCCTGTTTTTGGTACTTAAGCTCTTTATAGCTTTTACTGCTGACCTAGGGATTTTTTTTTTTTTTTAAGAATATCTTTATTGAGGTATTTTCCCGTAGTAAAATGTACCGGTCTTAAGTATAGAGTTCAAACAATTTTGACAAATACAACCTGTAGCCTACCTTAGTCTGTCAGCCCAGAAAGTCCCCAGACAATCCCCCTACCCTTGGTCCTTAGGGGACTGTTCTGAATTCCATCCCAACACATTCCTTTTGCCAATTCTGGAACTTCATGTAAATGAAATGGTACAGTGTGTGCTCTTTTGTGTCTGGCCTTCTGTTTGGCATCATGTTTGTAAGATTCACTGGTGTCGATTCATTCCTTTTTACAGTTGAGTTAATATTTCACTATTTTAATATCCTGTTGACAGTCACATAGGCTATTTCCACTTTGGAGTAGTAGTGATAAGGTTCCTGTGAACCTCCTTGCACTTTTTGTAGGCATACATTTTTTATTTCTCTTGGATGAATACCTAAAAGTGGAATGGTCGGGCCACATGCTAAGTGTCCATTTGATGATTTGATAAGAACCTGCCACACTGTTTCCAGTGTGGCTCTAAAGGTTACTCTCCCTTGAGCGGTATGCTTCAGTCTCTCCATGCTGTTGGTCACTTTCATGTTGAGCATTGTAACAGGTGAGTCCTGGGACCTGCTGGGGTTTTTATGTGTCTCACTGATGTGACCTAGTGAATTTTAAAGAGGCTTCAAGAATCCTGCCCAGGCCAGCCACCTCTCCCGCCCAGTGCACCCTGCGTTGCATGCGGCAGGTAGAACCACAGGGATTTGCTCTATCTGGAGTATAATCATGGAGCCTAGCGTGGCAGGCCATGCTGGAGACATGGGGCCCTCTCAGAGGAGCACATGTTCTAGGCCAGGGGCAGCACCCTCTGTAAAGGGCAGATTCAGGGCCCACAGCTGACATCAGTCACGATGCTCAGCTCTGTCGTGGACGTGTGAAAGCAGCCTAGACAAAATGCAGAGGAATGAGTGTCATTTTACTTGTAGGCAGTGAAGTTTGGGTTTCATGTAATTTTCATATGTCATGAAAATTACCCTTCTTTTGATTCGTTTAAATCATTTAAAAATGTAGGAAGTGTTCCTAACTTGAGGGCCATATCAAAACAGGTGGTGGGCCAGCCTGGGCCAAGGGTAGGCAGAGGCAGTGCCCTGAGATGCAGCTTGAAGCCAGGCCGGCAGCCTTCACAGCAAATCTGCCCCACCAGGAAGAGGCTCCCCAAGGGCGAGGGCTGTGGAGGGTGAGAACCAGACCAGGGAGGCCTGTGGATGTTGGCTGTGTGTCCTTCACCTCCTCTCACAGCCCCCCAGGCAGACCCCAAGCTCCACCATTTGGGCACTGCTTCTCTCTCTCCACCCCCAGCTCTCTCACTGACCCTGGCTCTGACTGCTTCCACTTTGGCCTGGTCACCTCAGAATGCCTGCCCATTAGCTACAGGGGGGCCTGCCCTCACCTGTCACCTCAACTCCCCCAGGTCAGCCTGGACCTGCTCGGGAGGGACTGAGACTGGTTTAGCAAGATCACCTGGCCAGGGTCATGGTTTGCAGAAGCTGTGCTGAGCTCAACCTTCTGCTGAGGGACTGGCCAGTCCACCTTGTCGAGGGGGATGGTTCTGGGGAGTGTCTGGGAGGCAGGGGAGCCCATGAGGAAACTACCATGGGAATCCTGGCAAGAGGACCCAAAGGAGTAGCTGAGGATGGGTAAAGAGACTAGAAACACTGGGCACAAATGGCTGGAGGCTCCAGACTTCCTTTTGGAGGACCAGCTCTAGAGAGAGAGAGAGTGCCATGGAGACACCCCCACCCCAGCTATGTCCATCCCTAAGGCTCAGCACCAGCCTTAGGTCTGCAGTCCCAGAGACTGGCCAGTCCTACACCCTCATGTGAGTGGAGTCCTGAAGTGCTGCCTTCTCTCAGGCAGCATTGTTCCTCTGTGCTGTTGGATGTGGGCCATCGTTCTCACGGCTCTGGGCTATGCAACCATGGGAATATGCCACAATTTATTTAGCAGCCCAGCACTGGTGGACATTTGCGTGGTTTCCAGTTTGGGACTGTTGCGAATATTTGAATGTTACGGGCATTTCTGTACATGCCTTTTGGTCGGCCTAAGCATTCATGTCTGTTGGCTATTTTCTTTGGAGTAGTATTGCTGGGTCAGAGGTAGGTGTTTGTTTAGCTTCAGTGAATGCTGCCAGTTTTTCCACGTTCCACCTACCTGTCAGGACTCTTGTTGATGCAGAAATCACAGAGGCTAAGATAGGATCAAGGAGGAGCTGCGGGAGCAAGACTGAAGCCAGGGACCGGAAGATGGCCCTGGGGGACAGCAGCGGGTAGTGCTGGTGAGAGTGAGTGAGGGGGTCCCAGCCCAGGACCTGCCGGTAGGAACTAGCCGAGAGGCTTTAGAGAGGGTGAGGAGCAGAGGAGACGCCGTCTCGGGGGCGTGGACAGGAGAGAGATGCTGGCAGGAATGGGCCACAAGCCCAGGACCTCACGCTCAGCTTTGCGCGTGGAGAAACTCAACAGTACTCCTTCCCGCAGGCATAGGTACTCCGCCCCTTCTGCGGCCCCGCCCTCCAGCAGGCCCCGCCCCTCCTGCGGCCCGGCCCCACCCGCGGCCCCGGCGCTGCGCGCAGTCGCGCCCGCAGCCCCACCCCTCCCCGCCGGCGCGGCGCACTGCGCAGGCGCGGCCTGGCAGCTGGTGAAGCCGCAGCATCCCTGGCGCGGGCGAGTCCCAGCGGCTCTCTTCGTCCTCCTCCTCCTCGCCGTCCTCCTCGTCCCCATCCTCCCGGACGGCCGGCGCGATGGCAAAGCCGCTGACGGACGGCGAGAGGCGGAAGCAGATCAGCGTGCGCGGGCTGGCGGGGCTGGGCGACGTGGCAGAGGTGCGGAAGAGCTTCAACCGGCACCTGCATTTCACGCTCGTCAAGGACCGCAATGTCGCCACGCGCCGCGACTACTACCTGGCACTGGCGCACACCGTGCGGGACCACCTGGTGGGCCGCTGGATCCGCACGCAGCAGCGCTACTACGAGCGCGACCCCAAGGTGAGGCGCGCCGGGGAAGAGGGCGCCCGTGGGGAGACGGCTGCAGGGTGACTCGGACGGGGAAGCGTCCGCCTGCAATGCGGGAGACGCGGGCTCTGTCCCCGGGTGGGGAAGACCCTCTGGAGGAGGGCACGGCAGCCCAGTCCGGTGTTCCTGCCTGGAGAATCCCATGGACACACGAGCCTGGCGGGCTGCGATCCGCGGAGTCGCAGAGTCGGGCATGACTGAGCGAATCTCTGTCTTTGTGTCTGTCCCGGCTGGAGAGAGACCTCGGTGAGGAGGGACCTCCAGGGTCGGGGGAGAGACCCCCAGGTGAGAAGGGACGCCCCTGAGATGGGGAGAAACCCCGCACCCCCAGGTGAGGAGAGAACCCTGGGTAAGGAGAGATCCCTGGGGTGGTGAGAGACTCACAGGGCGGAGAAGGACCTCTGGTGAGAAGAGACCCCCCCGGGTGAGGAGAGACCCCAGTGAGGAGGGATCGACCACCCTTGAGATTGGGGGGAAACCGTCCCCACCCTCTGCCCCGGGTAAGAGGGGACCCCTGGGTGAGGAGAGATCCCTGGTGAAAAGAGACTGGGTAAGGAGGAACTGCTGGGGTGAAGACACACACACACCACATACACACAGACACACACACCCGGGTGAGGTGGCCCTGCACACACACACACACCCTGGGTAAGGCAGCCCTGCACACGCACACACACACCCAGGTGAGGTGGCCCTGCACATGCACACACACACACACACACACACCCTGGGTAAGGTGGCCCTGCACGCGCGCACACACACACCCGGGTGAGATGGCCTTGCACATACACACACACAGACACCCTGGGTGAGGTGGCCCTGCACACAGTTTCGTCTGCACCTGCACACCACATGCTAAGCGCCTGAAGTTGAACGGGGGGCCTGCTGTCCTGTGGTGGAGTTGGGGTCACTGGGAAGCCTCTGAGACTGAGACCCTCAGGGATGGGCCCTGCCTTCCAGGAGCACACACCTGCTCTGGAGAACTTGTCTTAGCTGAAGGTTGGTAGACAGTAAGGAACTATTGATTCTTTTTACATTTTATACAAGCATAGGTTTATGGTAGACGAGTACAAGGTGCACAAGAGAGAACTTGTTCATCACGTCCATTACTAACCATGTTAAGAATGCAGGTGTATGTCCTGCATCTTCTCCTGTTCTTAAATAAATATGCACACCTTTCAAAAGAATATTGAGTGTACGGTTTTGTGGCTCTTCTGATTCATTCATCAACATTTGTAACACTTGTAGCTTTTTCAACAGCTTTCCAAGTAAATATGATTCTTCAGTATCATTGATAGTTTTCAGTCTGATGCATATGTCATAGGCTTGGCCAGGCCCCTGCTGCCAGTTTTGTTTGCTTGGTTTTTTGGTTTTGTTTCTTGCCTCTTGACCATGGAGCATTTTACCCTTTCTTTTATACTAATGTAGAGTGAAAACTGATGAGGGAAGGACACACCTGTAGACCTAACACCAGTTTGCAAAGTTTGATTTGCAGTGGACACCTGGGCACTGGGCAGTTGCTTTGTTGATAGTATTTTTGTAGGGCGTTAAGAAATGTTTAATAATTGCTAAGTCTGAGATCGGTTGCTTTTCCAAGATTTTTCTGGGGCATTCCTTTTTCTAAAAGGGTAGTGGTAAAAAAGACAGTTTTGTTAGAATACTAACCAGCCTCTTGGTGTTTAGTATGCAAAACAGTGAAGTCACACCAAATGGCTAAAACAGGTTATTTCAATGAGGGCTTGGGTCGACTTTGCCAGGGAAGCTGGCCAAGAGGCAGGACTCCCCCAGAATTCCCTGTTGGTGGCAGAGCTCCACTTTGCAATATCATTGTTATTTATGCAGCAGGTGACAAGCGACATCTCTGCCTGCACACTCAAGGGCATTTCCCTGCAGCTGAACCAGAATGTACCACAGCACCCAAGGGACCTGTTAGAGTCTTTATTCTATGTTTAGATCCAAAAAAGACTGGTAATGGGCTCAGGGATTGCGGAAATAACCTTTCCTGAACAGGATTAAATTCCTCTAACAAAACAGGTTTGCTGATCCTCACTGATGGCTACGGTGGCCATAGGCATAAACATTCCTCTTTTAAGGAAACCACGGCCTGTAAATGGAAGGTTGTTTGCCTCTCCTGGATAGGAAGGTCCTTTGAAAGTGGAAATTTCTAATTTAACTGCTTCGATCTGTCTGATCCATGTTGAAAATAGGCTCATCATCTCCTTTTCCTGCAAAAGTTACATGTTTGCTTATAAAGCTGGGGTCCCCAACCTTTTAGGGACCAGGGTCCGCTTTCATGGAAGACAGTTTTTCCACGGCCCCTGGTGGGGTGGGAGGGGATGGTTTCTGGATGATTCAAGCACATTACATTTATTGTGCACTTTGTTTCTATTATTATTACATTAGCTCCACCTCAGACCATCAGGCATTAGATCTCAGAGGTTAGGGAACCCTGTTGGAAAGGATAAGAAACCCTGTTTTGTTAGAAGAATTTAATCCTGTTCAAGAAAGGTTACTTCCGCAATCCCTGAGCCCATCACCAGACTTTTATGGATCTAAACATAGAATAAAGACTCTAACGGGTCCCTACAGTGCTATGGTACATTCTCATTCAGCTGCAGGGAAATGCCCTTGAGTGTGCTGGCAGAGATGTAGCTTGTCACTGCTATACCTCTGATCCCAGGAGGATCAGAGCATGAGGGAAGGTGGGAGGGCTTTGGCAGCCTGATGATCTGAACAAGAATCAGACTGCTTTTATTTAATATTTTTATTTACTTAAAAACAGTTATGCAGGTCCTTGTGATTATTGGAGACAAAAATTCGAAAACACAGATAAGCCAAAAGGATACATTTAACTGTAATCTCACCACCTAGTGATAACAATGTAAATGCCACAGATAGCTTGTGTTCCACATCTCTTTTTCTGGGAAAGTAGAGGCACTTGTTTTTATTACACAAAATAGTGCAGTGCCATGCTGCACCTATTGTTTCGTAACTCTTTCAAGCATTCTATTTTTGGTAATAGTAGAAACAATTGAAGCTCAGTGCTCAGAGGAAGAGTTTTCAAATAAGCTGCCTGGCCAAGCAGCAAGTCAAAATATCTGGCTAAAATTTAAGAGGTCTGCACTTGGCAGGACTCAGCACTTAATTCTAAAGAGGCTCCAAGAGACTGAGGAGATGGGGAGGTCAGGACTCCACTCCAGACTCGGGGACGGAAAAGAACTGGGTGGTAAGGGATGGCTCACACAGATCCAAGCCCCTCAAGGCCTGGCTTTACCACTCAGATTGTTCCACCCTGGGCTGGGGTAGGTTTCTTTCTTGGTCTCAGTTTTTTCATCTTTAAAATGAGGAAGGTCAAGCTAGGTAATCCATTTCTGAGTCCCTTTCCTTTCTAAAACATCATAGTTTTGTGTTTGCTGATAAAATGTTTCCATTTTACATTGACATTCCATCCAAAAAGAATTTGAGAATGCTTGAGCAAGACATGATACAGGGGCTTCCCTGGCAGTCCAGTGGTTAAGAATTCGCCTGCCAGTGCAAGGGACACAGATTTGATTCCTGGTCTAGGAAGATTCCACATGCTTCTGAGCAGCTAAGCCTGTGTACCACAATTACTGAGCTCGTGTGCAGAAACTGCTGAAGCCCAAGGTCCCTAAAGCCTGTGCTCTACAAGAGAAGCCACTGCAATGAGAAGCCTGAACACCACAACAAAAAAGACCCAGCACAGCTAAAAATAACAAATAAATAATTTTTTTAAAAAGATACAATACAAAAGGCTCAACTTCATAGAAGACCTCAAAGAGAAAGTTGGGGCAAAAGACAGTAAGGGTAGGAAAGTGGATTAAGTTCAGGTGTAAAGTCAGGACACAAAATGCCAACCTAAGTTCTGGCAACCAGAGCATGTGTCAGGTTATGCCCAGTTATGGGAGTCCTCAATCTCTACTAGAGATTCTAGAATGGGCAAGTGGGAGATTTCTTCCATGGATCTCTAGAGCAGACATTGCACAAGGTGGACAGCTGAACTGATGGCACCCCTGCAGTGGATGGACTGGTCAGTTTCCCATGGCTCCTTCCTCATGACCTCTTGGCATAACCATCATGGTAGACTAAGAAAAGGAGCTCTACCACTGGGCCCAAGCTCTTGTCTTAAATGTTTCTAGTAAGATAATCATAAAGAATACAGTCAATCTTATGGTTTTAATGGATTTGGAAATTGAAGGAAGATAATCTAGAGCAGTGTTTTATACCCTTGGCTGCCCACAAGCCCCACTTCTGAACTTCTGTCCTAATAAGGCAGGAGTGGGACCAGCACTGGGATCTTTTTGACCCAGGCAGCGGTTCTGATGTGTTTGCTGTGTTTGCACTCTGTGGTTCTGGTTGTGGCTGTGGTGTTCTGATGTGTTTGCACTCATCTGTGTGAACTTGATCTTGTATCCTGTGGACAAGCCTCCCTGATAGCAGAGAGCTCAGAGTTACTTTCTGTGGCCAGAAGCTGGGGAGGGACAGGCAGTTCGTGTTGCTGATTACCCTGACAGCTTGCAGAGCAGAAGGTCGGGTGAAGCCATTGTCTATGAGATGGGGAAACTCTGTGTGTGTGCCACGATTTCTCATAGAAGGCAGCCTAGCCTCTGCTCCTTCGGGCTGTGATGGTTCATTTTCTGTGTCAGCTTGGCTGGGCTATGGTGCCCAGATATTTGGTCCAATGTTAATGTGGATGTTTGTTTGAAGGTGTTTTCTGACTAAACGTGAGAGTAACGTTTGGTCAGTGGATTTTGAGGAAAGTGGTATCTTCTGTAATGTAGATGGGCCTCTATTCTCTTGAAGACCTGAACAGAGCAAAGACTGACACCCCATTTAGAGTCCAAATGCCACTCCTCCATACCTCACCTCGCCAGATTTCGGTCTTGGACCTCCATGATTATGTGACCCAGCTCCTTAAAATAAGTCTCTGTGTGTATGTCCTGTAGATCCTGTTT